AAAAGCTAACTGACTTGATCTTAGTTCTTGATAAACTACAAATTGGAAATTAAGTTGAGATTGCTATAAGGATGGCAAAGAAATTAACCTTGAATTTGTACCATATTTAAGAGTGCCATAATTTTTATTTGTTCCACTCATTTATCCCTCTCTGTATCCACAGAAGCTTGTGGTAGAGTATGTTTTGTGATGTGTTCAGTTAGTGTGGAGGGCATATGCGATTTGAAATTTCTGTCATCTGATATTGGCTTTAATGTTAATGTATAAGGAGATATTTAAAAGCTTGTCTCAAAAGGAAAATCTTGATTTACCTTCCAACTCCAATACTTATTGACTCTGTGCCTCTCTTAACCTCTCTGTGACTTTCTCTGTTCAGTCAACCCTAAGATCAATTTAATAGTCATCAGTCAAAGGCCTGTAATGATAATCATATCATCATCAAGATTAACACCATCCTATGAAGGATACTATCCTGTGAAGGTTACTAGCACCACTGAAATAGTGTTGCTATGTTCAAAGTAGCTGAAGAGAGAACAGAGACACACCAAGTAGCCAAAAGCTTAAAGAAAATGCTTTAGAAGTGTTTTAATTATTTTGGATATTTTTCTTGGAAAATAGTTCATATAATTGGTGTTTATAACAATGACTTAGATAAGATAGTCAGATGAACACTTTTAGCAGAATTAACATTCAGAGGGCAGTAGTCCAGTTCTCTTTATTACTGTCCTAAATTTGTATGGAAAATAAGTTTATTCAGAAATCTGGTGCCTCAGCCTAAAATATTTCCAGCAGTTTCTTTATATATTTGAAATGAAATTTAAGTAAGTAAATGCCAAGACATCTGTTCAGCAGATCTCCTGGACTCACATGTTAAGAGTCATGTTCTTCTCCGCATGAGTTGCATTGAACCATTCAGCTATAATTGTCTCATTGTCTGTCTGTTTACCCACATCTTTGATACTGGGTAAACCAGACTATCAGTCATGTTGGCAGATTTCCACTTGCTGCCCAGGAGGCAGTGGGATCAATGAACGCTAACCCAGGGAGCATACTTTTACCGAATTGAGCTACAGTGAAATATGTGTTCTGTACCCCTGGTTTTCAGTTAAATATGCATCCATTGTCTCTGAGCATGGGGAACAGAGGGTGTGTAAGTTCTTCTACCTTCTTGGTGTGTTCTAAGTTCCTTAAAAAACTGACCTGGAAATTAAGTTGTAATTTTAGTATTTTGGAGGAAACTTAATTTTAAAAGAATAATTAACTGGTTTATGTAACCCTTTATTTAACTGGCTTACATAATGTGTATAACACCTTGAAGGTAGTGGCATGTGTTTCCAAGTCACTGTGAAAGACTATGAAAATAGCTGTCTTGTGAAGAAAGGTATGAAAATTATAGCACAAGTTATGATCTTTAAGAAACCCTTATGAAAAGAACTAATTTTGTAACCAAAGGTGTTGTAAATTTGATGTGTTCCTCATATGACCAATCATGCCTTTAAATCTTATAAACAAGAGCTCTGTGATTCATCCACTAGATTTTTCAATTTTAAAAGTTGCATTCTTTAAATGTTTTCAAAAGTTTTATTCTCTTAGAGCTATGACCTTTATAATTCCAAGATAAAGGTAGATGTATGTCTAGTTATGTGTTAATGATTACCGATAGACTATTCTCTACAAATTAATCAGAGAGCCCTGACAAATTCTAGAAATGTTTGACTGACTGCAATTTTCAGGGTGTTATACTAGGATGGGGTAAAATGGGGATAGAGGAGATGGGATACCAAGATGAAGATGAGCTTGTCCCTACCTTCAAGGAGCACGTATTCTAACTAGGGGCCAAGACCGCTGTCTTCTTATAGCTGCTGATATTAAATATATAACACTCAAGTACTTAGATATTTCATGTAAAATAATGAGGCCTGGCGTAAAGCTCATGCCTATAATCCCAGCATTTTGGGAGGCCAAGCTGGGAGGATGGCCTGAGCCCAGGAGTTCAAGACCAGCCTAAGCAACATAGCAAAACCCTTCATTTCTACAAAAAATAAAAAAGATTAGCCAAACATGATGGTGTGTACGCGTAGTCCCAGCTACTTGGGATGTGAGGTGGAAGGATCACCTGAGCCCAGGAAATCGAGGCTGCTGTGAGTCGTCATCGTCATAATCATGCCACTGCACTCCAGCTTGGGCAACAGAGTGAGAACCCAATCAAATAATAAGAATAATAAAATAATTAAAGGCCTGGTGTATAATTATATAACTTTAGGGTTCTGCTTTTAGTTTTGAAAACTCATGAGTTTGAAGACAATTCAAGGTTGTGGATTAATTTTTTTTATTATTGGATAAGCAATGGCAGGTTCTAATAATATACAAATATAAGACTGACAAGTTTATGTAAGAGTTCTTGGCTTCCTATTTATCATGCTGAAGGTTATATGAAATAGCTTGTTTGTTTGAAGCTAGTTGCAATGATAATAATGGATATTAGCTGGTAGCTTTATAAAATGTCCTTTAATTATTTTCACAAATTTGTGGTAACAAAAATATTTATTTACTTATTATGTCTCAATAAATGTTTTTATGGTTTTCTGTGCCCTGGCAAATCAACAGAATGTGAGGTTTAGATATATTGTACTATATTTGAAATGAATGAGCCTCTTGCTTATCTTCTGTAATATAAAATATTTTGTAAAATCAAGTGGAGAAAAAACTAATATTGTGTTCTTTGTACCAGGTATCATGGTGGGTATTTTATAGACTTTGGTTCTGGTTTGTCTGATTTCAAATCCTTCTAATTTACAAAATTCTGGCAACATTTTAAGTATCCCCTGGTATCTATGGAGACAAAACTCATTTTTATCACATTTTAAATATACCAAGTTGATTTCTATGTCTGTTGCTTGATTTGGAAATTAGGGACTTCAGTTTCCTTTCCTCAACTAAGTTGCTTGGGTTTATCCTTTATTTCCTATCTACATAGTTACTAAGGTCAAATTTCTTTCCTGATTTTGCTTGCCCTACCACGTTTTGAGGGAGATGCTTGGGGAGGAGGGATAAGAGTGGGCAATATATCTGTGTTTTATTATCCAACAACCTGGAAGTATGGGGATGGAGAGGCTCCTTAAAGAGAGCATCAAATCAAAGATACCTGACTGAATAATTAAAATAAGCAAAAACAGTAGGCACATGGGGCAGGGTTAATGCATGGGTTTACAAAAAAATGTGTTCAGCATTATTTGGTCTTTTGTGTGATAACAACTCCTCTAGAATATAAGCATCACAAGAGCAGTTATCTTGTCTATTTTATTCTCTGTGCCTTTCATCTGTGCCTGGCCCAATAATGATTTCTTGATTAATTGAATGAACATGTGAATGAATGAATAAATAACATGTTTCACTGGTGGTTTCTGGTTTTATGCTTTATTATATTTACTTGACTGAACTTTTGTGTTGATATTCTGTTAAATAGTGAATGAGGAATTTGCCACTAAAATGTGTGATTTCCAAATGGTTCTAATTATTGATTAAAAAGAAAAACTTAGGAACTTTTTTCCTATAGGAAAATATGTCAAATTATAAAATAATTTATTTATTGTAAGGAAAGCATTTTATATCTCTGTAATACAGTGGGACCTAAATATCTTTATTACCCATAGTTCTTTTTTTTTTTTTTTTAGAAAAATAGCCTAATGCATTAAACAATACTTTTTATATATTATTTTTTAAATCTTCATAGAATTTACATTAGGGAGGTTTTGCTCAGATGTGTTTGAAGAGTACATTAGGGAGGTTTTGCTCAGATGTGTTTGAAGAGTACATGAAACAAGGTTTCTCTTATGGTGTTCTGTAGTGTGTCAGGATAATTTGGGTTTCTTACCGAGTAGATTTATGTAATTTAGCTTAAGGCATATACTTCTTTTTTCAAAGGCTCTTAATATGATTGCAAAATATATCTTTAGAAAAAGTATAACTAATTTATACTTCTTGTCTTTCAACCCTACTCCATTATTGAATCTGATGCGTAAAAAGATATATATATTATTTTGGTTTTTATTTCTTTGAATACTTGGGAGGTTGAACATCTTTTCAAATATTCTAGATAAGTTGCCTGTTAATGTACTTCACCTGGATTCCTGTCAGAATGTTACCTTTCTGACATATAAATTCATCTATAGTTCTTGTAAAAGGCATCTACTGTTTATTGTATTTGATGAATTTTTTTCCTCTGTGTGTTTTCATAAGAAACTCTAGAGACTAAAGGGTATTATGTCTTTGGACTTTTATCACAGACCTTTTTCTTTGTCTATTACAATTTCTTGTTGGAGAGGTAAGCAGATATTTCTATGTAAGGCTAATTTGTCTAAGTAGTAAGTGTACGCATAAAGTTGTAAGACTGTCAGAGACATACTCTATGTTTTTGTTTTTAATTTATGTCTTACGATTTTTTTTTTTAGTCGAAATCTCACTCTGTCATCCAGACTTGGGTGCAGTGGCACACTCATGGCCACCGCAGTCTCTACCTGCTGGGCTCAGGCGATCCTTGCACTTCAGCCTTCCAAGTAGCTGGAACTGCAGGCACACACCACCATGCCTGGCTAATTTTTAAAAAATGTATTGTAGAGACAAGGTCTTGCCAAGTTGCTCTGGCTGGTCTTGAACCCCTGGACTCAGGCAATCCTCTCGCCTCGACCACCCAAAGTGATGAGATTATAGGCTTGAGTCACCATGCCTGGCCTTATGGTTTTTCAAGAAATATTACCTGCTTTTTCTCAGACTAAAACCAGCATGATAGACGTTCAGCGGCACATCCATAAGATGGGAAAACAACATCCTCTGCTGACTTATTTTTCTAGCTGTTGCTTACTATCTCTGGTCTTTTCAGGAACTTGCCATTTTTAACATAGTTTACCATTTTTACTGTGTTGTTTGTGCTCTCTCCCCCATGCCCATACCCATGAGAAAGGGGTTGTCTAACTGAGGGGTGTTTTTCCATTTATTTTCAGAGTATCCACATATTGGAGAGGACTGCTTCCTCTAGCACCGAGCCCTCTGTAAGTCGGCAGTTGCTAGAACCGGAGCCCGTCCCTCTCTCCAAGGTCAGTGACTGAATGTTCTCTGGTGGCATAATGCCTGCTCTGGGGCCATCTGAACTATGAATAAATGTTACACGTGACACCCCTAAGGTAGCTGTGAGGCAGTTGTAGGGTATCTCTGATTTCTTTCTGCCTCCAGTATATAGTTTCTCTGCCCTATGTAAGGAGAAGACAGATGAACGTATTTTACTGGAATTTGCAAGGCTACATACAGAGGTCCAAAATTATTTTATTTTATTTATTTATTTATTTTTGAGTTGGAGTCTCACTCTGTCGCCCAGACTGGAGTGCAGTGGCCGCTCCCGGCCACCGCAGCCTCGACCTGCTGGGCTCCTGTGATCCTTCCACCTCAGCCTTCCGAGTAGCCGGAATTACAGGCATGCGCTACCACGCCCGGCTAATTTTTTGACTTATTGTAGAGATGAGGTCTCACCAAGGTGCCCAGGCGGGTCTTCAAACCCGCAGGCTCAGGCAGTCCACTCACCTCAGCCTCCCAAAGGTGCGGGATTACAGGCTGAGCCACCGAACCCAGCCAAAATTATTTTTATTATAAGGCTGGAAAGAAAGGAAAAAACGATTCCTTATTCGAGAAAAAAGCAGATATTTCTATGGCAAGCTAATGGAAAAGAAAAATATCACTGGGTCCAGCATTAATAAATATTAAATAATAATAATAACATAATAGTAACACTAACAGCCATCATTATTGCCAACATACTGTATACCGGGTACTATGTGAAGTGCTTAAATACATTATCTTATTTAATATAGTCCTTATAAACAGCTTCATACAATGTAGGTATTTATCACATTTTACACATATGGATACTAAGAGTTAATGACGTGCCCAAAGTATTTTTTTTAAAGAAGTCAAATAGCAGAACAAACGTTTTTATTTTTATTATTTTATTTTTTGAGTCAGAGTCTCACTGTCGCCCAGGATGGAGTGCAGTGATGTAATCAAGGCTCACCACAACCTTGACCTTCTGGGCTCAAGTGATCCTTCTGCTTCAGCCTCCCAAGTAGCTGGGAATACAGGCATGCGCCACCATGCCTGGCTAATTTTTAAAAATTTAAAAAAATTTTTTTTCTCAAGCCAGTTTCAAACTCCTGGGCTCAAGTGATTCTTCCATCTCAGCCTGCCAAAATGCTGGAATTGCAGGTGTGAGCCACCACACCTGGCCCAGAGAAGAAATTTAAACTTAGACTTGTCCATCTCTACAACTGATGCTTTTCAGCTTTACCCAAGCTCTAAGGTAACATTGTACCTACACAGAGGGGCTTCTAGTCTCCTCCTCATATCTGGCTTCCTAGGAATGAACTCGGGGAAGAACACAGCTTATTTATTAAGACCTTTCTGTATCATGGGAGCCAGCATTCCCTACCTTTCCTTAGACTAGGGAAACATTAAATTCAGACATGTCTAAAATGCAAAATCCTAGGGAAGAGTGGAGATGCCATCCTGTTCCTGCCCACTACTCCCTGAGATTTTCAATGGGCTAGCTTTCTTATTGAGAAACTCTGAAAATAGAATGAGTGCAGATTTTGAATTCCGTTATAAAAATAGCATTTTATTTCTAAAGACGGTTAACTTCTAAGTATGTAAAGTCTGCCATTCCACTTTGCTTTTCTATATTAAGGATAATCCTTTTTAAGAAAAGAACACTTTACTACCTAGTGTTATGGAATATATACACTTGAACCTTTTTATACTGTAAAGATATTACAAGCTATAAACTTTATGCTATCAGACAGGAACAGACTGCTTAAGCAAAGGATGGGGGGGAGTTATTAAACCATAAAAAATAATTTAGAGAGAAATAAAAAGTGATCTGACTTCCATTTGAATAGCAAATAGAGAATGTATACTTGGTAAATAGAGCTAGTAATCCCTTTGAAATATCAGTTCTCTCTTATAGTTAACTAAGGGAAAGAGAGAATAAATAAATATGGGGGCAATGGAAAAGGCAGCTAACATTTATTGAGTGCCTAATTTGTGCCAGGCATTGAATTCAAATATGCATTCTCTCACAAAATCAGTCTGCAACCCATTGAAGTGGTTACTAATGTTAATTTTCTAAGCATGAAGGCCCCAGATTGGTAAAAAAGCAGTTCTTCCTAGAAGGGGATGACTGTTAGCCCAGTTCCCGGCAGCTAGGGTCTGAGTCCTCTATTCTGATCAAGGGATCTAAATGGGGCACAACAGCATCCTATTCCCATTAGTTCCCCATGTTGTTGCTCATTCAGATCTTGGTGTAGGATTAATAAACCCTTGTTTTGATATTAGTAGGTACCATATCTCTTGGGACCCCATGAAATTAGAGAGCCACATACAATTCAGATGCTACAGCATGTCATCGTCTCTCAGCCCCTTTGAGAGACAGGCTTCCTGGGCACTTAGTACCGGAAAAACATTGAAGTGAAATACACATTGTCCTGATCAGGATTTGTTCAAATTCTATGCAGCAATTTTACATGCCCCTGCCACAACCACACATTCTTATTCTCCTTCTCTCTCTCTGTCTCTCTCTCTCTCTCTCTTTCTCACTCTCTCTCTCTCCCCCGGCGCCCCCCACCTCCTCGCACCCTGCCCCTATCTCTCTCTCATACCCACATGCACACAGTTACCCTGGAGAAAGAAAATGTCTGTTTTTTTTCCAAATGAACAAACTTGGGCTATTATTAAATTACTTTCTGTAAGTAAACCAAAGAAAATTGAAGACTTTTAAGCAGAAAATAAATAGCAACTGAAATTATGAAAAAAAAAGTTTTGATTTTTAAAAAGTGATTTTAGTTTTTTTAAGATAGACCTAATATACTAAGCTTAGAGAAAGAAATTTCAGTATAATAAAATACAGAATATAGAAGGTACTGTCTTATACAGAGAAGAGTTGTTTCATTTCTTTTTTTTTTTTTTTTTTTTGAGTTGGAGTCTCGCTCTGTCGCCCAGACTGGAGTGCAGTGGCCGCTCCCGGCCACCGCAGCCTCGACCTGCTGGGCTCCAGCGATCCTTCCGCCTCAGCCTTCCAAGTAGCTGGAACTACAGGCGCACGCTACCACGCCCAGCTAATTTTTGACTTATTGTAGAGATGAGGTCTCGCCCAGTTGCTCAGGCAGGTCTCGAACCCGCGGGCTCAGGCAATCCATTCACCTCAGCCTCCCAAAGTGCTGGGATTACAGGCTGAGCCACCGAGCCCAACTATGTTTCATTTCTTACATACTTTATTTGTAACATTCTCCTCAGCATTTGTAACTGAAATAGGGAGAATATTGTTTGGTTTTGTCCTTTGCCTCTGTCAGTTTGATAGCTTATTTAATTGTAAGAACTATATTAGGATTCTTTTCTATTTCCTTTGCTGGGCTTAGTAATACTGCATCAGAGTGAATAAAATTATTTTTTCACAGATGCTGCATCTCAGTTTAAAAAAATACATTTTAACTTTTTGCCTTTCTGTCTTCTTTTTTTCCCCTGTACCCTCTACAGTTAAACTCCCAAAAAATATAAAAACCACTGTGACAGAAATCAGTAGCCATAGCTTCATAGGGACAAGCTATGATTACAATCTGAGTTTAATTAGGAAAAAAATCGAAAAACACTTGTACTTACGAGGGGAGACTCCCCCCAAAATACAATTTATTTATTCAAAAATTGTGTATTAATTCTTACATGTTTAAACTCCAGTCACCTTCAGATTACTCTCCATTTAATACAGTACAACTATTGAGATGCTTTTTCCATAACTAAAAGCAGTTTTTTAACTCATTAATTTTTATTTTAATTTTGGTGCTTCTGCTGTTTTTTGTTTCACCTATTCCACATCAGCAAAACGTTTCCCTTCAAGAACTTTTTTATCAAAAAAAAAAGGAATCACTGGAGATGAGACCAGGTAACAGGGAAAGTAGGCATGGGGGTCATGCCATTTTGGGTTAAAAACTGTTGAACACTCAGTGCAGTGTAGGCAGGTTGTTCATGGAAATCACCCATCATGAAGTGGACAAACACACTGAAAGAATCTCCCCCCAAAAAAGATTCACTGAAGCTGAATGCAGCGTCTCATAGCAATGCTAAGTGGTATACTAATGCTGATGGGTTCCCAGAACAGTTATCTAGTGGGGAAGCCTGTACTAAAAGGGGCCTGCCCTCCAAAAAATAATTCTGTTTTTGTGGAGGGTCCCCCCTCATACTACTAAATGTTTCCATTTTCACAAGTTACACTGTATTTATCACACACAGAGAGAGAGAGAGAGAGAGAGAGAGAGAGAGAGAGAGAATAAATCAAAGATGAACACTAGCCTCCAGATAAGATCTAGCCAGAAATAAAAATATTATTCTTCTAGAGATACTATCTGTGAATGGGGACCACTGAAAATAGAAGTGCCATTAAGTACAGAAGATATCTCTCTAAGAAAAGAGAGTGCTAATGAATATATTTACATGTATGTGGAGCTCATTTTTATGGAATGGAGTAGTTACCTACTTTTCTGGTGAGAGTAGAAAGTCACAGATACTGGACTTTTTATAAGAGCCTTATATATTCTTCTATTATTCTAATATTATTCATAAACAGTGTCCCTACTTGTTGAATTGCAATTCAGTATTAAGAAATGCTACCCACAAGTCCCCGGGGTGTATCTTTTGAAAGCACAGACTTCTTTGGTGTGTCTTTGGCAAGTGAACGTTTCGTGTGCACTTTGAAACCCATGAAGACTTCCAGAGAGCAACCCTGACCACAGCCCTGTTTTTCTCTGTTAATAGCAGTTTACGAGCCACTTTAGACCACAGCAGCCTTCCCATTTCTACACAGAAAGCCTCGTCCGCACGCTAATTGAACATTTGTCATCAGACTAGTCTTATTTTGAAGCTTTAAAGTGCCTCTCTGCCCAGGGATTAACTGTCTGGAAAAGTGCATTTTAAACATCCTCAGTTCAGGCAATTGAAATTCCATCCTACACCAAAGAGACAAGTTGGCTCCAATGAGTCTCTGATGGACCCCTACAGCTCCCAAGGTCTACCTGGGAAACTCTTTTCAACTTCACTTAAAAGTGCATGTCTGTGTTTGATGTTAGAATTTGCTCCAGAAAGTTGCTCATACTTCTGGTGGGCCCAGCATTGCTTCAGAAGTGACTTCTACTTAAGAATCTGCTGTAAATGTGTCATCAAGCACTGAGAAACACGTGATTTGTTTTTCTTCTTTTCTCTTAGGAAGCTGACAGCTGGGAAATTATAGAAGGGCTGAAAATAGGCCAAACCAATGTCCAGAAACCAGACAAACATGAAGGCTTTATGCTGAAGAAAAGAAAATGGCCCTTAAAAGGCTGGCACAAGGTAACGTTTTTATCATATTCAGTTTCAGATCGTCTGCATAAATAGAGAGGATCTTATTTGCTATCATGGGTGAGAAACTAACAGTACAGATGTGTGTAAAACTAATTTTCAAGGCTTTATTTTAACTGTATGGGTTGCAGTCTATTATACCCACCAGAGTCTGAGATCTGTAAAATATATATGCCAAAAAATGTATGTGATACTTAAAATCTGGTGTATACATATTGTTGTGCAAACAAATCTACATTTTTCACTTAATATGGATATGTTCTCATTAAATATACTTCTAATATGAAATTTTTAAAGGAATGCACGTATCCCATTGGATGGATATATTATATATCCCACCATCATTGAACCAATTCCCTATTGCTGGGTATGTAGGGCATGTCTAATTTTTACTGTTTTGATGAACATCCTTAGACATGAATTTCTATTTAGTTCCATGAGATACAGTCCTAGAATTATTGTTACCAGTGCAAACTAAAATTGGAAAATCGCTGATCCTGGAAGTTTGTTTACTGCCCTTTCAAGTATATAGCATTGCTGGGCAGTTCATTCCTCTCCTCTCTCCCAGTATCCTTTTTCTATCTCCCAGTTTTAATTATAGGAAAAATATTCTTATACAATGTTGCCTTTACCTGAGTAGCAAGAATTCTATGATGCTAGGAGGAGAAAATTGTCTTCCATTTTTAGTTTATCTTATCTTAACTCAGTAGAAGAACAAATTCATCTGCTTTCCACCTCTGCTGGTGGATTTTATCTCAGTGCAGATGGGTTGTATTGGACCAAGTGGCTGGTGGTGGCTGCCCCATGGGCTCAAAGCAGCGAGGTAATGGGTTTCCTTGAGCAAACATATTTTATGGATTTTAAGGAAAAGACTTAAAAATGAACACATGGGAGATGTTGCCCCACTCCCTTGTCTCTGAAGGTAGCACAAAAACAGGCTTCTGGCTAATGTGCCCTCTTTCTTGTCAGAAACTGTCTCCTCTGAAGCCATCTTATTATCCCAGTACCAAGGATCTGTCCCCACTGTTGTTGATCCTTAGATTCTGGCCAACTGGCCATACTCCTCTCGAAGATCTTCTTCCCCTTTTATTCTGACCTTGTCAATCAGCATTTCCTCCAATTGTTGGCCTTGCTCTTCTCTCCCTATGACATGCTACAGGTTAGCTCTGCTGAAATTTTTTGATAGATAGAAATGGAAAAGTAGGAAAAAGAGGCCAAAGAAACAAATTTTGTATGAATTGTTAACTTGAATTTGGCACTCTCCATCTATGTTTCAGCTGTGGTTTGACAGTAACTTTCTAGACCAAGTCTTCAAACATTTTGCTACATAAATAATAGGAGGGTCTCCCTTATACTGTCTTTTTTCCTGACCTCTAATACCAACATTTATTTATTCAAGTGTAAGCCCGTTTGATTGCCCAAATCAGGGGCAATTGATGAATCAAGTATTTTTCAACTGTGGAGATTCTTTATTTTAGTGCTTACCTGTTGTCCCCCAAAACCAGTAAGGAAGAGGTTACAGTGACCTCCTGTGAGTTCTATTCAGAGTGTCCCAAATCTTGACTGCCTGCACTTCAGAAGCTAAGAGGTCTGAATCAGCAAGGAATTTTCTAGCAACAGAAAGACTTTCTATATCTGTAAAGCTACAGGGCACTGGACCCATTGTTTCGCTGGGTCCTGGTTGCTCCTTGTTCTCCTGTGAATTGCCCACGGTAGGGAAATCAATAGAGGAAAGTCCATGAGTATAGAACAAAAATGGCCAAATCCATTCAGACTGGACCAGGAGCATCTGAGAGGAGACAAAATTGCCAAAAACCTCTCTTTTTGTAACACTTGATGTAGTTTGGGAAAAAATTGTAATGCCTTTTCTAATACTAGAAAGCAAGCATTTTGCTAAGTAAAAATGCAAGCATATTATTGAAGCTACTTAAACTTTCCAGATAATTCATTATCCAGTCCACTAGCTTCATATGAGCATTTTCAGGAATTATCCATTGTATCTAGGGGAAATTCAGGACTTTCTCTCCTCAATGAGAACTTTCCTGTAGAATTGTGTAGCATTCCTCCAGAACCACTGTGACCTAAGCCAAGTTATTGTCATTTCTTTCAAAAACACCCACCCCAACATGGTTCATGTAGAAGGTCTTAGCTACAGGTCCTGAGAGGCCCTCCCTGTTAAGAAAGAATATAATTTTTAAAAACTCTATCTCCATCAGATTATGTATAAACGAATCCTGGTAAGTTAACAGCATGGAACTACAGCTCTAAGCTCCTTATTATTTAATATGACTGACCATAGCCAGATGCTCTGAATCAGGATACTTTAAAATGATCAAACATACTGATTGCTAAATTCTTTTTTTTTTTTGAGTTGGAGTCTCACTCTGTTGCCCAGACTGGAGTTCAATGGCCACTCCCAGCCACTACAGCCTCGACCTGCTGGGCTCCGGCTATCCTTCCACCTCAGCCTTCCATGTAGCTGGAACTGCAGGCATGCCCTACCATGCCCAGCTAATTTTTTGATTTATTGTAGAGATGAGGTCTTGCCAAGTTGCCCAGGCAGGTCTCGAACCCACGGGCTCAGGCAATCCACTCACCTTAGCCTCCCAAAGCGCGGGATTACAGGCTGAGCCACTGAGCCTGGCTCTGATTGCTAAATTCTAAACAATGTTAGACCAACACTTGTGAATGTTTTATATAATTGAAAATACAGACAGTAACCAGGGATGTTTGGTTCTTACAGCGTTTTTTTGTCCTGGATAATGGAATGTTAAAGTATTCTAAGGCACCACTTGATGTAAGTAGCACACAGGACATGTTTCAAAGATTGATTTAGGATTCTGCTTGAAGTGAGTAAACACTGTAACTGTACAAGTCTTGTGCCATTAACTACCAGCTTTGTGCATGCCTGTGCCTATAAGATTTCACAAGCTACCAAACCTCTATGTTCCATAGAAGGTGTGTGTATACTCAAAATAGCATAAAATCTCAAACCTAGTGCATGCAGATTTAATTTAACTATTTTGATGCATGTTATTAAAAACAGAGGCTTAAACCTAAAGTGATATACTAGTAAAATCACCATTTCTCTCCTGGAGAAAAAACACACCATGCTTTTTTCTGCTTCTTTCTGTCACCTCTGCTTTCTGTGTGCTTTTTTGAGATTTAGAGCAGTCTTTGTTCCTGTCATGTCCTTTTTAAAATTGTCTTGTGAACTTCATTTCTATTTCATACATTCTTTTATCTTGGGGATCCCAACTTGCTAAAATTATTCCAAATTATTTTTCTTTAATATATAAAGTAGGTGTTTGCATGCAAAACTGGAAAATTCCTCCCTCCTCATTATTGTGGTATAGGGAAAATAACAGAGGGCTCAGGTTTCAATTTTGTCCCCATCACTGCCATTGAATCAGCTATGCACTTTATCAGAAGAGCATCTAGAAGGAAAGCTGTCCACTGCCTGATCTCTGCAGCAGCTGTTTGCCAGCTGATAACTTGGGGATGTTCTAGGTTACAAGTCAAAGATTGGCCACAATTATTTTAACAACCACTAATGATATTCTTTTGGGGGAACATAAGCTGTGCAATCTAGAGCAGGGATCTCCAACCCCTGGGCCACAGACCAGTACTGGGCTGTGTAGTCTGTTTAGAATCAGGCCATACAGCAGGAGGTGAGCACTGTTGAGCAGAGCTCTACCTTCTGTCAGATCAGCAATGACATTAAATTTAAAGAGGAGCATGAACCCTATTGTGAACTGTGCATGCAGGGGATCTGGGTTGCACGCTCCTTATGAGAATCTAATGCCTGATTATCCCCCCTGCTCCTCTCCATGGAAAAATTGTCTTCTACAAAGTCAGTCTCTGATGCCAAAAAAGTTGGGGACCATTGATCTAGAGAATTGGCATCATATTTTATGCCAAAAACAAGAATAAGATAGTCTTACTTATAGAAATTGATATGAAATCACGGCAGCTATCCTCAGCTTAAGAATCTTAACCTCAGAACCTTAACTATTTTTGCTCTTAAAGAGGTGTGGTAATTCACTTCCCATAGATTAGTCAAATATTACCCTGAATTCACTTAAATCCAGTACAGAAACATTAAATCCTATTTCCTTTCAGCCAATTTACTAGTCTCTTGATTTCAGATTCAAAAAGGGAAGGTCCATGGGAGCATAGATGTTGGACTCTCAGTCATGTCAATTAAAAAGAAAGCTCGAAGAATAGACCTCGACACAGAAGAGCACATCTACCATTTGAAGGTGAAATCACTTTACAACAGTTTCTCTGCCATTATCAGGAGAAATCATTTTCCTCCACCAGTGGCAAACAGGAGATTGGTTTCACAGTTACCTTCTCCTCTTGCTCATTGTTTTAGGTGAAATCCCAGGACTGGTTTGATGCATGGGTCTCCAAACTGCGCCATCATCGGTTGTATCGTCAGAATGAAATTGTGAGGTCACCAAGAGATGCTAGTTTTCACATATTTCCTTCAACCTCCACAGCTGAATCCTCCCCAGCTGCAAATGTTTCCGTTGTGGATGGAAAGGTAGGACTTTGGTCTATAAAAATCAGCCTGGAAATCGCTTAGAAAAGTATGCAAATGCATAACCATGTCTCATTTGAGAGCACCAGAAAGAGAAGGTTTGCTTTGTAAGCTACCATTCAGAAGACTATGGTGACAGTTGGCATCAGTGTTAATCACAAGTATAGATTAGATGGAAATGTGGATCACCAAGAAAATTAGTATTTATTTTTCCTTTCTGTGTATGGACTATAACCTAATTTTATTTGACTTTATTAGAACATTAGGAAGCAAACATTTGCTTAATCAGCATCCAGAAATCAGGTGCCTTCCTGGGTGGTAGTTAGAAGACCCCCAAAGTCTTGAAATGAAACTTGCTTTCTTACCTTGAACTGTAACATATACATGACCCAGAGAGAGGCTATTAAATTTCCCCATGAAGTCAATGCAAATGAGCTGGAGAATGTGACGGTAATGTAAGTAGTATCCTAATTGAGTGACCAGCCACTGTGTTAATCATTTGATACTCATTCATCTTTAATCTTTCATATTGCCAAAGTTCAGAGACAGTAAAGAATTTGTCTGGAAGTGGTATAGTCATTAAACAGCTGAGCCAGGATCTGAACCCACATTTCTGTTTCCAAAATCAGTGCCCTTTCCATTATACCAAGTGCCAGATTAAAGGAGGCTGAAGTTGTTCCTTGAACTGAAATGAGTTCACATCTATGTTGATGAAAAGCTAAAGGTGTTTTTGTCTGTTAAGATAACACACAGGAAAACAGCTGTTTCTGCCTTTGATTCAGCAATTAAGTTTTCTAAAACACAGCCACTTTACACTGCCCAACGGCGCTCCTGCGTCACACTTGGCCCCTGAATCTGAGGACAAAGACAGCTGTGAGGAAGCTGGCTGCTGCAGTAAGTTGGGTTCAACAATGTTCCAGTGGAAATGCTGCTTTTCTCTGTTTGCTTACACAGAAATATATGTCATACATAGATAGAATTGTGGGTGCTGCATCTTTGGAAAGCACTGAAAAACCTCATGAGTAACTGCAAGACTTACCAAATCAGATTTAAAATTACTATATAAGGTTTTTATTATTTCAGTAGAAATTACTTATGCAAGTTTTGTTAAATCTCATTAATTATATTAGACAAGGCTCTCAAACCCTGAATTATCCCATTCTGGTTTCAAGCCTTGCCAAGGACTGTTTAATTATCTTTCTTCTAGGAATAGAGTGTTGGGTTAGCCCCAATAACCAACTGGTTCTGACATAAAAGGGAACAAGCCAATGCTTCAAGGGTTAGGAATTTGGGAACTTACAGATGTCCAAGATAGTGCCCAGGTTTCTCTGGGCCTCCTGACTTCTCACTGCAGGGTAAACTGAATCCCAGATTTAGTCTAAATTAGATGAGAAATGCATTCCAAATGGATTTTTAAAATGTTCCAAACAGATCTTCAAAAATTTTAATTCTTTAGTACTTCCAGCTTCTGCCTATATTGACCCAGAGTTTCAATTTTGAAATATATTATTTCCAATAATATGTTATTTAATAAATAACTAAGTATCAAGTTATGAGACTCCTGGATGTTAATTGGTTTGTGGCCCAGAGTGGGTAATAAATAAGTCTAGATTTGCTAAGTATGTGTATCATGTACTTTGTAATGATTGAGAGGAGGCACTATCAGTTGTAATTGAATATTAAAGTCAAATATGAAGTTTTAAAGTTATTTCAATTTCTTGGGAAATAAGTTTCTGCTTTTTTTACTGAGTGCTTCTTGCACTCACCTTAGTATCTACTATTTATTTTATATAAAAATCCCTTTAATATAAAGTCTATAGATAGTGACTTTAATAGAAAACTGTAGATAATAACTTGCCTAGACTGCCTTTTTATGTATCATAATTTTCAACATACACTCAAAGTATTGCAAGGTTGCTTGCTGGTGGTATTTAAGGATCACATGTGGTTGAGCAGACTTTGAGCTAATTCTGAGAGTATGAGACCTTTTGGAAAGGAAGGCCTTAAATTAAGAATACTGCAGTAAGGACACTGTGTCAAATACAACTTACTGAGTAATTAAAAATGATTGGGAATTTGAGTTGGCAGGTCCTTGCGTATACGAGATACAGTGTACTTAAATGTCTCTTTCGTCGAATGATAGTGATAGCAACTTCATGAGAGTGTTGTTATTATTTATGAATTTTGCCTTCACTGAGCACATACCACATTTAGCCGAGAGGTTTCTTCCACATTTTGAGTGTGCCCTTTCTACCTTTCTTTTTTCATATCACTTTGAGGATACATGTATTTTTTAAAAGCCATCAATGTACTGTTTCTGCTTTGTAACCGTATACTATTTCTGTTTTTGTTCATTGTAGATGCAGCCAAACAACTTTCCATGGCAGTCCCCTTTGCCCTGCAGCAATAGCCTCCCTGCCACCTGCACGACTGGCCAGAGTAAAGTGGCTGCCTGGTTACAAGACTCGGAGGAGATGGACAGGTGTGCAGAAGGTTAGTTCTTGCCCAGTGTGGGCTATGAGAATAAGCCAAAACCAAACCAAAGCACTCAAGAGGTGAATTGTGGGTGCTGCATCTTTTACCCTGGCCCATTTGATCACGGCAACCTTTCTCTGCTCTTTTTGTGATATGCCAGATTCTCCTCTGCACCATGACTCAGACATCTTACCTGCCAGTTATCCTGCCCTGACCCTGACTTACAACTGCTTCGACCTTCTCCCCTTGTCTCTTCACCAGTTCTTCTGAACCCTGGGGCCAGTCACATGAAGGCATGACCCCCAAGGAGAGCCCTCTATCCGTGTACCCAGTCTCTCCACTTTGCCTTCGTTGCTAGGTCACTTCTGTAGCTGCCTTCTTTGCTGCTCTGTGCTGCCCACACAACAGGCGTATGCTTCCTGACAACCCAGCAATAAATAGCAGAATTCTAATGTGCTACATCTTATATCCAGTTAGCTGGTAGTGGTGTTCCTTTCTAGATTAGTGATTAAATACTCTGAACCAGTAAGTGATTCCCTCCCTCTGCCATCTCTGAGCCTCTTAATCTCTTTTTATCTCCTCCTTTGTTATCAGCCAGAATATGATGGTCCAAATGGATCCACTGTCCACTTAATCCATTTCCATTCTGTGAGACCGTTTTCGTTTGGCCTTCAGAACTGAGAAAAGAAACGAGAGCAAAGTAGAGAGTATTTAATAAGGCTCAGCTGATGTAATTTTTTAAATGATCTTGAGAAGACACTGGGCCTAATTTTCTAAATTATTTTCTTTTATGAATTTATCATAGAAGTGGATGCTAAATAACTTTTGATGTTCTCACTTAGAAAAATAAAAATTTGGCAGTCTGTGTTCATCCCCAACCAAACAAAACAAAAAAATTTTAATCCTACCAGGGTGTGAACTCAAAATTTGCAACAATTTAATTAGCTCTCTCAGATATCACATCCCAAATTTGATCATTATGTGAAAATATGATTTGAGAGATTTTATGTTCCTAAGTTATGTCTAGCTGAAATTCTATTAAAAGGCTTTCACTTGCATGTATTCAGAAAACACTCAGACTTTAATTTAAAGATACTAACTTCAGGTTGGGGAAGGAAGCCACGCCTCACTTCCTAAACGTGCCGCTTTGGCAGTGATTCGAGACACTGCAGCAGCTCCTCTCATTCCTGCAGCCTTACACACACTGGTGGCATTTAACCTGGCCATCTTCACTGCCGAAAAGATGGAGTCCATCCACTGAGACAATAGCCATTTATCTGACCAAAATGATTAGACATTGGCTTTGGGAGGGATGCAGTCATCTCCCTGTCAGTTTAAAATGCCTCTGTAGCCCATCCCTTGTACCCTCAATCCAGGGTTGGGGGGGATCCTCCTCCTCCCCATCCTGGCTCCTCTACCTGTGTCCTCCATACCACCTTTCTGTTTTCCTTCAAGATTTAACACAATAATCGTCTCCTCCCTTGAGGACACAATCCCAGCTTCACTAATTCCTGCTCCTCACCCACAGACTCCACCTTCTCTCCCATAACTTGACTTTTTCCCTTTTTGTTCTTTGGGGAAAGCATTCTTGGTAGCAGGAGACCATCTGATTTCTGCTTTGTTCTCAGGCCTCATGCTCTGACCTGCCCTGAACATCCTTTAATCAGCCTCTGCACTTATGTCCCGTGAAGTTTTCCTTTTTCTCCAGCTGCTCCTCCTCTGCCTCTTTGGGATTCTCCTCTGGCCAACCTTGGTTGTAGAGATGATCAAGATTCAATCTTCCCCTTTCTGCTTCAATAATAATACTATAATTTATTGAGTGCTTATTATGAGCCAAACACCAAGCCAAGCATATATTTCTGCTTTTATGCAAATCTGCACAATAGTACCAAACAGCGATTATGTGCCACATAATTTCACAGATGGGAAACGGAAGCTCAGAGAGATCAAGTAACTTGTCCTTATTACACAGCAAGTATTTGGCACAGCTGGAGGACTAAACCAGGCCAACTTGATTCTAATAACTATGTTGTATGCTTTAGAGACACCTGGTATGCTCATAATTTCAACTGAAATCCATTTTGATGATGGTAGGAGTTGTGGTGGTCATGATGAAGGTGGCACTGGTAATGATGGAGGTGAGCTGGTGGGAGCGTTAGTGTTTATGGTGGTGGTGGTAGTGACTTTTTTGTTGTTGTTCTTTAAAAATTTATTATCCAAAAGTTTATGTTAATTATTTAATAATTTTTTTGAATTTTGTTAATTTTGTATTTTAAAGATATGGGGCACAATTCAGGATTAGGTATACAAGTGGTCATCGTACAGTTAAAGTTTGGACCTCCCTTTGGTCCCCACTTTGCCTGGTTTGAGATCAGGTACCCTTATGGATGTTGTGTCCCCACTCCCACCCTGGCAGTATCCTGCTACTGCCAATCCCTTTCTTATAGTATTATGGTAAGTGTTCAGGGTCTGCTTATGAGTGACAACATGTGGTACTCTGTTCTTTGTTTCTGTGATAGATCACTGAGTATGATAGACTCTAAATCCATCCAAGTTGCTGCGAAGTCTGTATGTTTGCCCTTCTTAATGGCTGCATGATATTCCATCATGTATATGTACTACATTTAAAAAATCTAGTTCAGTTTCAAGGGGCAGCAGCATGGCTAGTTCCTTGTTTTTGCTATTGTGAATAGTGCTGCAGTAAACATGCATGTGCAGGTATCTTTTTGTAGAATGATTTGAGTTCCTCCGGGTGTATTCCCAGTAGGGGGATTCCTGGGTCATACAGAAGGTCAATTTCTAGTTCTTTTAGAAATTGCCACATTGTTTTCCGTAGAGGTTGAACGAGTTTGCATTCCCACCAGCAATATTGAAGCAGGTGGTAGTGATCGATGATGGTATTAGTAGAGGTGTGGGTGGTGGTAGTAGTGGTAATGGTAATGATGGTGGTAGTGGTGGTAATGGTGATGGTGGTGGTGGAGGTGGAGTTGGTAGGAGTAGTGATGATGATGGTGGTGGTAGAGGTGGTGTTGGTGGTGTTGGTGGTGGTAGTAATGATGGTGGAGGTGGAGGTGATGGTGATGATGATAGTAGAGCTGGTGATGGTGATGGTGGTGGTGGAGGGGATGGTGGTAATGATCGCATTGGGCTGGTGGTATAGGGGGTGGTAGTGATCGTCATGGGAGCTGTAATAGTGATGATGATAGTGAAAGTGGTGGTGATGATAGTGGTAATGATGGTAGCCATGGTGGTAATGGCGATTGCAGTAGGGGTAGTGGCAGCAGCATTGGTATTGGACACTTCCTTTACACTTTAGATGTTTTATGTGCGTTCACTCATTTCTTCCTCAACTCCATTTTATGGCTGAGGAAACTTAGGTACAGAGAAGTTTGCTCATTTGACCAAGTTCACACAGCTAGTAACAATGGAGCTGAGATTCAGACTCAGGCATTTTAGTTCCAGAGAATGTGTCTGGACATTTTCATACTACCATCCTGTCTTCCTAGAAGCGGGCCCAGCTCCTGGACTTCCCTGTTTCTGTCAGTGCTGCTGTCATAACTATCCCACCAGGGTGGTCTGTGACCCTCTTTCCCTGTTCATCCAGCCAATTCCAAGTTCTGTCTATTATTTATTTAAACACCCCCCCCATCTCTCTTCCTCCATCTTCCCTTTCCCTTGAACTCCATTCCTGTTTTTCTGAATCAATTGCAATTTGTCTGGTCTCTGGATAGTCACAAAGCCTCCTAGTCAGGCTTCTCTTACCCTCAGCCTCTTGCTCTGCTGCTTCATCCCTCTCAGAGGTTCATAGGAAATTAGTGTTCTTGAACTTGTTTGCAGGCCCTACGTCAGCACTTAACAAGCATTATTCTGTTGTACTCACCTGCAAGATGTAGGGATTGCTACTATCCCCACTTGGAATATGAGGAAAGTGAATGCATGAGGTTAAGGAATTTGCCCATCATTACCAAGCTGTTCTGAAAGAGAGGTCAGGCCTTTACCACATTTGACTAACCCCAAAGTCAATTCTTTGCCTAGTACCTAATACTCTCTCAAGACTGCTAGCTCTTAAAATAGCTTTTATGCAGAAATCCCTTTAGTGGTTCTCCTTTGGCTCTGGGGCTTAGCCCAGCATTTAGCAACCCTAACCTTCAGCTTTCTGGCCCTGCATACTTTTTCACCCTGTCTTTCTGTAGACCCAACCAAACCTGTTTAACATTTCATGAACATTTGTGCATATTTCCACTTCCCTGACTTCACACAGATTGTTCTTCCCGTCATGCAGTATGCCTTCTCCACCCTTCTCCACCATCCTATTTTGCTGAATCCTTCCTATCAATCTTCCAGGCCCAGAAAAAATGTCATTCTCTCTTTTATATCCACTCTGATGACCTCAGGCCATAGTAACTCTCGAGTCTTTGCAAAACTCCTACAGCACTTTTTTGTGTATACTGGATATTTGTCATAGAGAGTTCCTAATGTTGAAATTGATTGTGTTTCAAAAGTAATAACATTTATGAATTATTTCACTGGTTGTATATTTCACTGGTTACATTTTGAGAGATGTAACATCTTATCAGACCCATAACAGCTTGGATTTGGATTTATGGTTCTAATACTTAAAGCAGTTGACTATTCATTGATCTGGACTTTTCTAAGTTCAGATCTTATGAAGTATATAAGGGAATTGGTGGTTCTCAGAGCGCATTCTATCCCATAGAGATAAAATATTAAATAAGTATACTATATACTATCTTTATGTGCCAATGTATGCCATAATTAAAGATGGGTACATAGTGTTTCAATATGCAGATTATCTGTTGGGTACTTTTGTTTGTTTGTTTATTTTGTTTCATTTTACCAGAATGTAAATTTCATGAATCTTACTTGATTCTTATATTTCCTCTGCTTAGAACTATGTGGGGTACACACTATCCTCCCAATAAATGGTACTTAAATGAAATAATAAATAAGTTATTTTGTATATATCTTAATTTATTTAACTCTTTCACAGTTGGATGGTATGTTTATTTTTGGAACAAGGCAGGACATGAAAAATAAGTAAACTTAGATATTTAAGTTTTTAATCTTTTACTATTATTTAGAAATCTAGGTAATCCTCTCGGCATATTTTTTTCTCAGATTCTAAAATTAGATTTAATCTTAATTGAAATTCCTTTTTCGAAATTTTTTCTTAATGTATTTCTTTTTTGAAGAGCACTTTTATTGTTTTTGGAAAATTTTTGTAATCCTTATATACATCCAGATACTTAGGCAAGCAGTGAAATCCTGTCAAGGGTTTCATCTTTTCCTTATTGTAAAGGGTAGAAATGACAAAGAATGGAGTGACTTGGTCCAAGTTTAGGTTCTAGCAGAGTCCCTGGACAAAGTATAGTCAATGCTCCTTAAAGACCACTTCTGGTTTTCGTAAAACTTTCTCATCTGCCATCTCAGTAAGTAGGCGGGAACGCTAAAATGACTCCCACCATTTGACAGGGAGGAAACAGTAACTGAAAAAATGTAAAGTAAATTGATGTCTCCTCAAATTGCTTCCACCTCTTGACAGGGGAGGAAACGGCAAATGAAAAAATGTAAAGTAGAGTGTTGTCTCCTTACACTTAGTTTTGAGTCCTTTGCCTTGAACTGAATTCATTCACAAAGTTCTTCTGTTTCCATTAGTTAGTAAAAGCATCGATGTTATTTTAATGGTTTTAAGTCTCAATTACAAAGTTCTATGCTACCTACATAGCACCAATTATATCGAATCACAATATTAAGAAATATGACTATAATATTTCCAAGACAGAAAGTTCAAAATGAAATTTTCAGCAGCTGATCACAAAAATAAGAAAAACTACTTAAAAATTTAACAGTGATCTATAGAGGTTTCCTGTTATAGACAGAAGCAGTACACTTGACAAAATTAATCACATACCTGAAAGAGATCATCTCAATATTTAGTATTTGAGTAAGTTATACCAATAACTCAATATTCTTATTTGTATTCAATTTCACATACTAAAGGTCAGTATTTTTTTAAGAGAAATATATTATTATGCATATCTTTAAAAATTCTCTCTTGTTCCAGATACACCAAAAAAATTAAAATAAAACAAAAAATTGTTTCTTCATTCTAAGCGTTAATTCAAACAGAATGAGCTTGATGCCCAGGTGATACTGCTACTGCTGAAACAGGGAACACACTGTGAAAATCTTTGATTTAGTCAGTATAACATCTCTCATAGATTCATTTTAACATTTTGTGTTTTTTTGAGTTGGAGTCTCACTCTTTTGCCCAGACTGGAGTGCAGTGACTGCTCTCGGCCACCGCAGCCTCGACCCGCTGGGCTCCGGCCATCCTTCCACCTCAGCCTTCCACATAGCTGGAACTACAGGCGCGCGCTACCATGCCCAGCTCATTTTTTTTTTTTTAATTACTGTAGAGATGAGATCTTGCCAAGTTGCCCAGGCGGGTCTCGAACCTGCGGGCTTAGACAATCCACTCATCTCAGCCTCCCAAAGCACAGGATTACAGGCTGAGCCACCGAGTCCAGCTATTTTATCATTGTGAATGAGCTAAATTATAAATGTTTAACTGATTTTGTATTCCATCCTATTTTTCTGAACTTGACTAACTCTACCCAAATTCCAGGCAACCACTTTGTAGAACATTTTAGAGGAGCGGGTAGACAGGTGCCTAAGAATAAAACCACGGGACTACTGAAGTTCCCCTGAGTGTGCTTCTCACGTGAGAGTCCATCAGAGCAGGAAAGGGATCACACACTCCTTGATGGGTTGCAGTAATAGCTGTTAATTTTTAAGAATGGGCTTTGAAATAATCTAATAATCAACAGTTTTATGGTTCTAAACCAGAGAAGGGTCTGTTTGGTGTCACTTGCCAGTATCATCATCATATAAAAATGGATATGCCCAAGCATTTTGACCATAACTTGGATTGACCCTTTTTTTTACCATTCCTATTACTCCCTGTCCAATTCTAACATTTTTATTTCTGATTTTTATTAGACCTTGCACACTGCCAGTCAAACCTTGTGGAACTTAGCAAACTCCTGCAAAATTTGGAAATACTTCAGAGAACTCAGTCAGCACCTAACTTTACTGACATGCAGGTAAACTTATTATTGCTGCTGATAAAAGGACTTAGGATATTAATTTATAAGCTACTGAATTGTTCCATAAATATATAAGGTGATATTTAAAGGGAAATAACTTTGATACAGACTAGTTTGGTTTTTGTTTGTTTTGTTTGTTTTTTGAATCAGGATCTTACTCTTGTTTGCGCAGGCTGACGTGCAGTGGCACAATCTTGGCTTACTGCAGCCTTGACCTTCTGGACTCAGGGGATCCTTCTGCCTCAGCCTCCCACGTAGCTGGGACTACAAACATGTGCCACCATGCCCAGCTAATTTATTTTTTTATTTTTTTGTAGAGATGAGGTCTCTCTTTGTTGCCCAAGCTGGTCTCAAACTCTTAGGCTTAAGCAGTCCTCCTGCCTCGGCCTCCCAAAGTGCTGGATTACAGGTGTGAGCAATCATGCCTGGCCCAGACTAGTTTATATCTTAGAGTTATTCTTAATAGTTTTGAATCTTAAGGCCAATCTGTGTTAATTAAGATGACTATTTTTAAATGTTTTACACTTAAATACAAACTAACTAGAAGAAATATATACAGTATCTGAATCACTCTTTTATGTTATTTTTCCATTAGAAATGATAACTTTGAAGATATAATTTAGATGATCTCAGAATTATTATTTTTTATTAGAAAACAATTTTATTTTTTAATATAGAAAACAGTGCTGAAGCTCCCTAATTCTGTTTTTATTTTGTGTATCAGAAAAATACATTTTTAAAGTTATTGTCTCTGCTTTTACTGCCCATTCTGCATCTATATGCCTTTCTATCCTGGCTGATTTGCTTACAAAATCTAACAATGTTCCTTTACTAACTTGCTGTGCTTTCTCTGTCTATACCCATATCCTCTGTGTGAATGTAATAATTACTTTGTTGCTTTTAACTATTTGTGTAATGTAGGCTAACTGTGTAGATATTTCAAAGAAAGACAAGCGGGTCACAAGACGATGGAGAACAAAAAGTGTCAGCAAAGATACAAAAATACAACTGCAGGTACAGATCTTACTTTTCCTTCATTCATATTTTTACATACTTTTAAAGTACTAGTCTTTCTACTTCAATCAGTCCCTGGGAGTTAGATTGAGAGAGTCGCTTAACTGCTTCAAACCCAGTGCTTTTCAAACTCAGTTCCATTATCTAAAATAGCAGGAAATCTGTTTTTGTTTTTGTTTTTTACTCTGGCATAAGTAAAAAGAACCTAAAAGAAAGCTTAAAATTATACAATATGGCTGCAAAGTGGCATTTTCATTCTCAGTTATGACCTTGAAGCCATTAAAATACATTTTAGCAAAAAGTTACCTTAAAAACTAGACTGAAAATCTAATGAGTTATAATGAGCATTTATTTATATATAGTAAATCTTAAAAGAGCCTTTTTTATGTTAGCTTTGTCCAAAGTTTTATCCATCAAGAAAAAGAACAGGGGGTGCAAGAGATTAGAAGTCTACAAACCTGGGTTCTAATCTAATCACTGTGATTTTCTGACAGTATAATTTTTAGCATTTCTGTTAAATTTTATGAACTTCCATTTTTCTCCTGGTTAAAGTGATAGAGTTAATTTAGTGATCTCTGAATTCCTTTTCAACTATAAAATGTTATGATTCTACAAGAATAGAGACTATTTGGTCATCGACCATCACTTCAAAGTCCCAATAACTTATGAAAATTTACTTGAAATTTATTTGAAATAAATTAGTCTTTTGAAATGAGTCATTCTGAAATGACACCCTCTTATGTTATTGCATTGCAATGATACAAAATATGATAAATTCCTAAACCTTTTAAACTAGAATCTCTACTATTCTCATCCTATTTGTATATTATAAATGACCTTGCCCTATACAGTCAAAAATAGACTTTATGATTTGGCTTTTTTATTACACTGTCAACCAATTTATATTCTGACACAAAGGTAGAAATGCTTTTCAAAATTCTTCAATGTCTTCTGAATTATTAACAAAATAATTCTTCTCTAATTCTGACTTTATTAATATGTTGTTTGTATTATGATTCTGAATGTGTAAATAACAAACTGTTGCTTTGCTTGCTAATCTGATATATTTGAAAATAAATTTTCATAAGCACTAAAGGTTCTTTTTTTTATTTAAAATGTCCACATTTTGTGAACACAATTTTTGGTGTTCCTTTGTTTAATACCTTTATGTGTGTTTTCTCTTCTATTCATAAAATTGATACTGTAGGGACAGATGTACCAAGTGATTTCCCAAGAAAATTACATAAAATTGCTTTTGGCAGTTTTATTTGTTTTGAGATTATGTTTGTCTGGTTTCTTTTGTTGTTGTTGTTTTAAGCATGATATCTATGAATCAAAACTATGAAGAAAAAACCATTTTTATATGGCAAAGAATCATTCCTATAGATAAAATAATTGAAGGAAGCCAGCATCATAAAAAACTGTACACTTGTGAATAGATATTATTTCAACCCTGTTTTTATAGATTTTTGTTCATAACTTTTGCTCAATCTGTTAAGAACAGGTTGGTTCTCAGGGAATTATACCACAGTGCCTTGCGACCCGACTGCCACTCGGAGCCCTACCACAGACCCATATCACTCAGTTTTTCTGCAGGACACAGAATGCAGTTGGGACTACATCTCCTAGTGCCAGGCTGTGCTTTTAAATGAGTAGAAAAGTTATGAAGATTTTTTTTGGTGTCATTAAAAGGAAGTGCTCAAAAAGCTGGAAAATATTTTTCATTAATAATACCCCTGCAACATCTTTGGGTGGTTTGTTCATTTTAAGGTTTTTATTTATGATGTTTTGCTTTGTCTTTGTTTTGCCAAAATGGGACAAAATTACCCTTTTAATTCTGGCTTTGTTATTTTTGAGGGAAATTGAAACCATCTCACTTCTATACTCAGAGACAACTTTACCTTTTCAAAATTGGGAAATTTAGTTCCAACACCAAGTAGGAACAAATAGACTTAGCGGTAGCAGTAAGCTATCAATCATTCCAGGAGAAACTTCACCTCCACTTGTTCTAAAACACGAGGTATTGTAGAGGAATGCCACAGAATTTAGTACCATCCCTGGAGTTTTTCTGCTCGCCCAAATCAACAGGTCTTCCAGGAGCCCCTAGGATGCTCATTTTCTATTGCTGGAAAGTTACTCAGACATTCTTCAACATGCACACTTGGCTGAAGAGCCATACGTTCATCCAATATGACTATCATCAGCATGAAAATCATTACCAGAATTTTGCCTAACAAAGGACTTGGCATTTATTTTACTTTAATGGATTAAACAACATGCCACTTTTTCTTCCACCCTAATACTTGGTTTTTTCTCTCCTGTTTTAAATGTTTTTTGTCCTTGGGAATCCTATCTTATGATGTCAACTATTTGTTTTGAGTTCACAATCATCTCACTACTTGAACCACTTTCCAACTTTCCCTGATGACCGTTGTTGTATCCAACCTGACCAGCTCTCAAATTGTGAATTATTTTTTTGTGAGAGTTCATCCATTCCCTCTACTGTTTGAAACTTTTGGTACAATACCCATTTGTGAAGAAACCCAGACTATTCGGTGGTGATGGTTCTTGTGGTCGTGGTGGTGGTGGTGGTGGTTGTTGTTGTTGTTGTTACTGACGCTGTATCACTGAACTTTATATTCAACATCTGTAGTAGTTGTCATTTTGAAACAACTATAAAATAGATCATTTTAAACGTTGACCTCAGGAAAGTAAGAATGAAGAACATTTTATGATGGATGTTTAAAGTGCTTATTTTGCTTAGGTTTGATTTGAATGTGAGTATTAAATTCTGAACCTATATGGTCATATTTCTACTAGAAGCCATTGTATAGTTGGCCCCAGGAATCCATCGTGTAACTCATGAAGTCAACACTTGTCCTAGAAGATTCTGTGGGATTTAGAAAAGAAGCTTGTTGTCTTCCAAACTTGAAACTTTCTGGTTCTAATAAAAATCTTGGTATCATTATGTAGTGAGAACTTGGCTGTGTTTTGATTTGTTTTACTTTATTCTGTTTTTTTTAACTTTATTTTATTTTACTTTTTAAAAATTTTTTTGATTTATTGTAGAGATGAGGTCTCACCAAGTTTCCCAGGCTAGTCTCAAATCCATGGGCTCAGGCAATCTTCTCACCTCAGCCTTCCAAAGTGCTGAGATTACAGGTGTGAACCATCACGCCTGGCCTTGACTGTGTTTTAAATGAGGCAGAGGAAGGCAGGAAGATAATGATTTTAAAGGTTTGCTATAGAAGAAAGAGCTGTTAGATTTCCTATGTTGCTAATGGCATGAAATAAATAATAGATCCCTGGATATTGGGGGGAGGGGGATGAGGAAGAGTAGGTATGTAGTAGCAGATTAAATGATTTGAAGTCATTCCTGTGTAGCTGTCCTAGCCTAGATCTCACAGATGCTCAAATTTTACTAAAGGGTAAAAATAAGTCATTTTTTCTACATTAAATAAAAAGGATTATGTAGAAAATTTTCGTGGAAAACAGATTATGTTTGTGTATATGTATGACAAACACACATATGTATGCAGAAGATTTGTGAAGATGCAAGAGAAATAAGAATAAAATTTGGCAATTTTAAAGAGAATTGGAAATATAAGAATTCATTTAAAATGTCTTTCTGTCATTCCAAAAAGACTAAAGCAGTTCTGCTGTCTTTTCAATCTGGACTGTTAGTTGATTCTAAGAAAGTACCTCTCGTTTAATTGGAAATGAAATTATTGCTCAGAACCTTGAAGAGTTAGGGTTTGTCAGATGGAGGCAAAGTTGATTGGCTAGAAGGAAATATCATTATCTTTTAATCTCATCCACCAAAAAAAATGAACAATGAGGAGAAAAATAAAAGAAAGTTCTGAGATTTTTCTGGTTTATGCATAGGTGCCCATCACTAAATGAAACCTATGTTTTCAGTTTTTCATAGTTAATTTTTGTAGACATTGTCTCCACACACTGAGGAACTTGAAATTTTTGTGTTTTGTTTCCTATTCTATGGGTACTGTCCTCCTTCTTGGAAAATTCTTCAGTGTATAAATCTCAGCACAATTCTTAAAGTGGAGTCCCAGTGAGTGAGTAGGGAATTAAGTAGAGAGTTGAAGAACCCTAGTACCATTCCCTTATTTTTTTCCCCTAGTGAGAAATTATTAAAATACTGCCTGGCTGACAGGAGACTCTCATTACAACCTGTTCGTTTCAGCCTTCACACATCATTTAATCAGTTTTTCCTGAACTTATTTTTCCTTTGCTCCATTTATTGAATGCCTTTATATAACATGACATCACATGAACAAAATAGTACGCCTATTTCTCTTACCTTAAAATTGCAAGCTGTTCAGCTATTCATAACTTTCCATCTCTTTCTGGGGTGGGGGTTATATTCAGCAAATAGACTTAAGGTGGTTGAGCGATCTGCGATGATGAATATTGTTCACATTTCTCATGAATGCCCCTTTAAGCTATTTTCAATGCTAAAATTTAAGAAACGTCAACTGCAGTAAAAAGAAACTCTCCCTCTCCCTTGTCTGATTATCTTTCATCCCCCCACCTCCCACCCTGTCCCTCCCCCTCCTGTGTTTTCTTCCCCTTTCTGTTCTCCCATTCACTGTCAGGAAGGGCCACCTGCGAAGGGCCAGTTCAGCACTACACGGCGCCGGCAGAGGCTAGCAGCAGCAGTGGCTACAACAGTGAGTGGATTTCAATCTCAAGTGGAAGTTTAATAAGACTGAGAACCTGTCTGTGTACAAGGGTGATCCCCCAATCCTGATGGTGCCACCTGTGTGTGATGGCACTACACGTAGCCCACTCATGGCGGCATAGCTTTCGCATGTTCTCTGGCTGTCTGTGCATGGCAGGAGTCAAACACGGGTATTCTTTTTTGGCAATGGAGAACTTTTATATCATCCAGTTCTTTACTTTTGCTATCAGTGTAAGACATGATATAAATCAAGTTTGCAAAACTGAGTACAGCACTCCGTGATGTGGGATTTCCTTAAATGATATTGTTAATTTTGTTGCCTTGCTGATATTGGAACCTTTGCTAACTGATTTCTCTTTTTCTAAGAAAAGTCATGTTACTACAGACATACATTGTGCTTTTTTTTTTTGTGGCAGTGTGACTATTTGAAAAGGATGTGAGAATAAAGAAATGAGAGGGTAAGAAAAGGTGAATTTTGATGTCATCTCTAAATGGCTACCCAAATTACACTTAGCAAGGGAAAATTGTTTTCTGAAAAGAATAGTTACATATAAAAATCAGAAACTGTCATATTGAAATAGAAAAAAAAACCCCAGAGTTAAATGGTGTTTAATCCATATCTAGAGGTTGTTGTTGTTGTTGTTTCTAAAAGAAAATAGAATGGATATAAGGAGAGCAAATTAAGGTGGCAAATGAATAGTGAATTATCCATACAGAACATAAAATAGAATATCTAAACACAAGAACACTTTGCTGGATAAAAGTAAATTGGAATATTTGCTTAATCATGAGATCCTATTAACTTCTAAAAATACAGAGTACTGAGTTCATAACAATCATGAATGTTAATTCTTTGGCTATTAGATAATATTTCCTGAATTAGCAACAGTCTTGCTCTCACTAGACATGGAGTATATTTTAAGACCAGAATTGGTGAAAAATATGAAAAGGTTTTGATTGCATTATAGGAGAGTGGATGCTAGTGTGAGGATTGGTGGCTTTCTACTTTCTTCTTAATGATTAGTAATTGACTCTTGCTTTTTATCTAGGTGTTTAGCTAGACTGTTTGGGAAACCAACTTGCTTTTGATTATAAAATGAACCAGTGACTTGGAATTTATTAGGGAACTGACTCTTAAACTCAGTTTTATGAACATTTGAACAAACAAATTATTAAAATGGCTTTCATGGTCAATGTATATCTTGCTCATGTATTCAAATGCAGATGAATAAAGCCCATGGCACCAATGTGGTAACAGATTCTAACAATAGATAACGTGTATAATCAGTTAAATATTCTTACATGTAATTTTGTGTTTATAAAATTAAGAAATCTAAATGATTATTAGAAAGAAAACAACACCTCAGTATGAAAAGGAAAAGTCAGTCATTTTATGAAGCACCAATGTTTCTTTAAGTAATATACATCTAAGATAACATGCAGGGAAGTGATCATGTTTCTCCTAGTTTTTTTTTTTAATTGCAGATACATACAGCAAATATAATAAAACTGGAATTAATTTGGACAAAACGGGCCTATATTTTAAAAATTGAGCGCAGAAGAGAAAAAGCTTTTAAAGGAAGAAATCATCAGTGCCCACCTCCCATAGTAGCAGTATGACTACATATATAAAAGAAAAATGTAGATGCATGTAATGAGGGAAGCTACTGGCAATATTTAATATTGAGTTGAGGAATAACTAGGAGGAATGGCTACTCTAAGATTGGTAGCTTTGGCTGTATACCAAAATATAGTAACATCTAGCAGGACTACCCTCAGCTGGCTTTTTTGGCCTCTCACCCACATCTCAGTGACCTGATGCTGATGACTCAGTTCCCCTCTTTCTTATAGTGCAGCAATTCCCCTTAATTCCCAGTCCTTTCTCTTTTCAACACTAAAGTTATCTCACACATTTTGAGCCCACCGTATCCTACTAAGTGCCTTTCACCTAGAATCCTTCCAAGTTATTACCAGTCATTTGTTTTTCTTACTCACTCAGCTGACTGGGGTGAGGAACTGAAATTGCTCCCAAAGAAAAGTATTTCTGAGGAGATGTTTCAGAAATATATTCTTGTTGACCCTCAGCACTAGTACTCAAAGTGGCCAACTTGCAACATCAGCCAGACCCAACAGAACAGGAGATTGGGGAAAAGAGAAACGCCAGCCCCTTCTCATGGAAGAACACTGAGAGTCCCAAAGCTACAGTGCAGAATAGCAACAGCAGGAGACCTTTCACACTGGTTCAATAAGTCCTGTACGTTTAGTATCTGTCTTAGACCTACCGTGTGTACTTTCTGTCATGTCTACAGTTGCAGAATGTAAATGCCAGCAGCTCCATTATCAACTGATTTCACTTTTGACATCTCCATGGACAAGTGTTAAAAGTATCTCCTAACATCTCCATTTCAAACTGTGGCTACTGGTACCAGAATATTTCAAGATCAGGCTTCCTCCCTGTCATAGTACTTCAAGGAAGGCTTGGATTTCTTTCCTGAGCAGGGCAGAAACACCCAAATCCAGTCTTGAGGGTTCCTAGGTATAAACGTGGAAACCTTTAGGCAGCTCCCACTTCAACCATCACAGACAGAAATGAGTTACCACTTAGATTTTTGAATACCCAAATTGATGAATAAAAAAGTCAGAATCAGTAAGTCTCCAGGCTGAAGAGATATTCAGTTAGAGTGAGATTAAAATTAACTCTAATTAATTTGTATTCTCAATTTTACTTCATGAATTCCTCAATTAAAATGACCCATTCTACATACTTGCTTTTCAAAAGACGATACCAAAATAAACATTTTTCAGTCAGAAGTATATGAAAATTAGTTCTCAGTTTCCCAGGAAACTGGCTGATTGAGGTTTGAAGGAATCATTCTAAGTCCCTTTCTCTGTGGATAATATACAAAACTACTTTTACTGTTTTAATAGCCAATTTAAGCTTCCATTATGTTCAAAATATAAATCTATAACACATTTTTCTTCTCATCTGACTCTAACACTTAATAAAGAGATAATAATTTATCTCAGGGGCAAGTCTGGGTCCTTACTGGATTCTCTGGATTTTCACTGCATAATGACTGCCAGTGCAACCTCCTCCCCAACCCACTCAAGGTATAGACCCCTAAGCCATGTGAGTTCTTGGAGTGTTGAGAGCACCTCAGTGCAGATAAAACCATTTTCCACGGTCCTCAACACTGTTACCAAGCACCCACATTCCTTTTTCTTAATGCTCATCTAGTTCCAGGATATCAGGAAACTATATCCTTCAATCTGAAAAACTCCCTGGTCTACCTATTTCTTCCACTCACAGTCTCTCCCATGACCTCCTCATCTCCACCGACCTATCCATGAATTCTCTGCTTCCTTCCTACAGGACTATGGGCTGAGAGAGCTCTTTCTAGATGTAGCATCACCACAGTTAATGTCAGAACTTTTTTTTTTTCTATCTTTTTTCTATCTTCAAGCATTCTTCCACATAAATCCTATCCCTTTACAGGTATCCTACAAGGACCTCACTCATTGCTATCATAAAGTTACCTGGACAGGATTCAGCAAATATTTGAACCTCAATACTCTGTTATCTCAAGTGGCTTATTTGCCCTTTCTATGTCTCAGATCTAGAATAACCAGACATTTTGAGCCTGATAAAATCAGCACACTATTAACATCTCCCAGCCCAGTGTAGTCAAGGTACTCACAGAGAATGGGTAGAGTGCTTTGATAATTCCAGATACCAAATGCATTGGATAGCATATATTAGTATGCTTTGCTTACTGCCTTTAGCAGGGAAACTTCATGCTCACTTCCTTCTCCAGCAAGCCTTGGATATCTTTTGAGACAGATAACTCCCTACCAGGGCAATGTTACATCAGAAGGACCCTCTGTCCCAATTACCCTCCAGCTGCAGCTCAGGTCGGATTTTTTTTTTTTTTTTTTTCCTCTTTCCATCTCCTCCATCTGTCCCTCTTTATCCTCGGAGAGGGAGTATCCTTTCGCCTTCCCCCTTTCTCTCACCAAATCTGTTGGGAAGTTTAAGGCAAAAAATAAAAGCAGAAGTGGTTCATATATGTACATTAGACAGGGTATTGGTTCTTCTCCTTCAGCATATTTCCTGTAAGGGGGTATGAATTATCCTTACTACTGTATAAAATTTGACCTATGGTAAAATCTAAGAGTCTGGTTCTTGAACGCAATTGAATGAGCATCTATGCAGTAAAATTTAGGGAGAAACTGCTGGTAATCTGATTTGCAAGAGAAATTGGTATTTTCATTTTCCAGTAATGTTTGGTTGACAGCATTTATAATGCTTGGTAAAACCTTCTTAAAGGGGAAGGAAATGTGCTTTGCCTGCACTCATCACAAGTCTAGCCCATATCCAACCTGGACAGGGAAGTATCTCTAGCTGTTTGGGAAACTCTATAGTAATATGACTTTTTCTTCTTAATGCCTTTCACTATTGGCCTGTTCATAAGCCATGTTTATATATGTAACAGAATTATGTGTAACATACAAAGGTAAAACTATAGTGATGTATGTAATATGTTTCATTTGCTAATATATATGTTGATAAATCAATTCCAAAAATAATAGTAAGTCTCTTTAAGACACTACTGTATTTACAACTAAGCCTGCTTTGTGTTTTAGCTAATGACTGCAGAGCAAGTGAATCTTCCAATATATGCATCTTTTGAATTTTCACATGTTTAGTAAGATCCAGGCTCAGAGAAGTGAACATAAAAAGTCCAGACTTTGTAAGAAAAGGTCAGCTACACCACAGTTCAGACTGTTGTTTTCTGCCAGTCATTTTCTTAGGCACAAGCGTGGGTTCGGAGTTGAAGTTTATCTGGCACTGTATCTTTTTTCCTATCATTCTGTAGTAATTGCTCTCTGTAATGGTGAAACGCTGGTGAGCGCATGGCAGTTCTAAATCAACTATGGGAAATGAGACTCTCTTCCAACCCTGACTACCTGCTAAATAAATAAGTGCTGAGTGTCTCTGAGTGTGTCATCAGAGAGGAATCTATTATTTTGAAGATGAAGAGATCTTTTATATGTAGGAGAAGGTAGAGCAGTGCCCTGTTATTCTTTAATATTTTATGTCTTCCCCTTTCAGGTACCTTTCAGTGCTACCATGTCACCAGTTCGCTTGCATTCCTCCAACCCCAACCTTTGTGCAGATATTGAATTTCAGACTCCTCCTAGCCACCTCACTGACCCTCTGGAGAGTTCAACGGATTATACAAAGCTGCAAGAGGAATTTTGTCTAATTGCACAGAAAGGTAACAACAAATAGGATGTGTCCTTTAAAGAAACTCTCTCCTTTGATGAGAGATTGTCCTTTGTTCTCTTGTCTATGTGGTAATAGTAGAAAGATTAATGGTGTATATAGTGGTTGAAGTTCTATATACAAAGTGCAACAGAATGAGATGTCTGCCTGTTGGAAGAACCACATAACAGGTTTACAGTTTTGACTAAATAAAGAGAATATCATGAAGGGGGTAGACAAAAAGTTTATCCTAAGCAATGCGGCAAGATACTATTATTCAGCATCTTTTTTTCAATGTCTCTTAGTTATCATTTAATACACATTTATTGGTTATCCTTAGCAAGGAAAAAATAGATACTAAGTATTTCTCTTTTTTTATTCAATAGCACTTGTTTATTGTCCTTTACAATTTGTGGGTCAGGAATCCAGGCAGGGCTCAGCTAAGCACCTAAGCTCCAGTGCCACATGTCCTTGACTAAGCTCACTAGTATTCGACCACAGGCTCGACTGGGCTGAAAGACCCAAGGTGGCTTCCCTCCTGTGCCTGGAACATTACCAGGACAGCTGGAAGCTTGCATACCACTGGTCTTGAAGTAGTCACTGGTCAACACTCTTTCACTATTTTCTACCTGTCAGAGCATCATGGGCCGGTTCAGATTTGAGGCGAAGGGAAATCAATGCCCACTGAGTCTCTTTATGTTATATTTTCAGTAAGGCCTGTTGTACAAGTTAAATTATTGTACTTTTGTACAACAGTGTAAATTTACAGCCGGTAACTTCCACTTCAGAGGGCAGGGGATGCACAGGTAGAACGAGACAGCAAATATGTTTATTGAGTACATATAGCACAGCTGCTGAAAAAAGGAAACTGAAAGGCAGCCCCAGGAAAGCTTTGTGTATTTGGTTACAATTCTAAAGCTTTCAGAAAATCCAAGTTTCAACAGAGTTTTAAATCTTCTGTTGAAAAACACATCACAGCCGGGCTCGGTGGCTCAGCCTGTAATCCCGCACTTTTGGGAGGCTGAGGTGAGTGGATTGCCTGAGCCGGAGGGTTGGAGACCCGCCTGGGCAGCGAGACCTCATCTCTACAATAAATCAAAAAATCAGCCGGGCGTGGTAGCGCATGCCTGTAATTCCGGCTACTCCCAGCAGGTCGAGGCTGCGGTGGCCGGAAGTGGCCACTGCACTCCAGTCTGGGCGACCGAGTGAGACTCCAACTCAAAAAAAAAAACAAAAAAGAAAACACATCACATTAACCAAATGAAAGACAAAAAAACACATGATCAGGCCAGTCACAGTGGCTCACATCTGTAATCCTAGCACTTTGGGAGGCTGCAGAAGAAGGATCACTCAAGTCTAGGCGTTCAAGATTACAGTGAGTTATGAGGCCCTGTCTCTATAAAAAAATTTTTTTTTAATTGAGACGTGGTAGCACATGCCTGTAATCCTAGCTACTTGGAGGCAAAGGCAGGAAGATTGCTTGAGCCCAGGAGTTCAAGATTACAGTGAGCTATGATTGTGCCACTGTACTCCAGCCTGGTTCACAGAATGATACTTTGTCTCAAATACACACACACACACACACACACACACACAATCATATCATTTGATGCAGAAGAAGCATTTGACAAAGTTCAACATCCATACTTGATAAAAACTCTTAAAAGTTTAGATATAGAAGGAAAGTTTCTCAACATAAGAAAGACCATTTATGAAAAACCCACAACGAACATCCATAATCAGTGGGGAGAAACTGAAAACTTTTCCTTTAGTATAGGGAAAATGGTGTACTCCTCCCACGTCCATTCATTGTAGTCCTGGAAGTACTCAAGAGCAATTGGACAACAAAAAGAAACAAAAAGTATATAAATCAGAAAGGAAGAAAAAAATTATCTCTATTTACAGATGACATGATCCTATGTCTAGAAAACCCCTAAGGCTCTGCCAAGAAACTGTTAGATCTAATAAGTGAAATTCAGTAAATTTGCAAGATATAAAATTAACATTCAAAATTTCATGGCATTTCTATGCACAAATAACAACCTAACTAAAAAGAAATCAAGATAACAGTCCCATTTATGACAGCATCAAGAAATAAAATACTTAGGAATAAATTTAACCAAGAAGTTGAAACACCTATATACTGAAAACTATAAAACATTGATGAAAGAAATTGAAGAAGACACAAATATATGGAGAGTTATTCCATGCTCCTGGATCAAAAGAATTTATGTTAAAATGTTCATACAACCTAAAGCAATACATAGATTCAGCACAATTTCTATCAAAATCCCAATGGCATTCTTCAATAATAAAGGAAAAACAATCATGCAATTTACATGGAACCAAAAAAGATTTTGATAGCCAAAGGAATTCTGAGGGGAAATAAAGCAAAGTTGAAGGTATCACACTTCCTGATTTAAAATTATTTTACAGAACTATAGTTATCAAAACAGTGTGGTATTGGCATAAAAGCAACAGATAGACCACAGAGCAGAATAGAGAGCCCAGAAATAAATCCAAACATATATGACCAACTAATTTTTGACACAGGCACCAAAAAACACAATGAGGAAAGAATGGTTTCTTCAATAAATGATGCTGGGAAAACCAGATTTCCACATGCAAAAGAATGAAATTGGATCCTTATCTTACACTATACACAAAAATCAGCTCAAAACGGATAAAAGACTTAAATATAAGACCTGAAACCATCAACTCCTTGAAGAAAACATAGGGCAAAAGTTCCTTGACATTGTCTTTGGTGATGAACTTTGTACGTATCACACCAAAAACTCAGTCTGAAAAAGCAAAGATAAATAAATAGAACTACAGAAAAGAAAATAATCAACAAAATAAAAAAGACAACCTACAGATTGGGAAAAAATATTTGCAAACCATATGTCAGATAAGGGGTTAATATCAAGGATGTATAAAGAACTCATACAACTTAGTAACAAGAAACAGGAAAAACCTTTGCTTAAGGTCAGGAGTTTGAGCAACATAGTGAGGCCCTGTCTCTATAAAAAAATTTTTTTTAAATTGAGACATGGTAGCACATGCCTGTAATCCTAGCTACTTGGAGGCAAAGGCAGGAAGATTGCTTGAGCCCAGGAGTTCAAGATTACAGTGAGCTATGATTGTGCCACTGCACTCCAGTCTGTGTGACAGAGAAAGACCTTGCCTGTAAAATAAAATACAATAAAATAAATTTTAAAAAAGAAAATTTAACAACCTGATTTTTAAATGAACAAACGATCTGAATAGATACTTCTCCAAAGATGACATAAAACTGGCCAACAGATACATGAAAATGTGTTCAGCATCACTAATCAGGGAAATGCAAATCAAAACCTCAAGGAATACAACCTCATACCTGTTAGGATGGCCGTTATCTAAAAGACAAGAGGTAACAAGTGTTGCCAAGGATGTGAAGAAAAGGGAACCTTTGTACACTCTTGGTGGCAATGTAGATTGGTGCAGCCATTATGAAAAACAGCATAGAAATTCCTAAGAAATTAAAAATAGATCTAACATCTGATCCATATGATCTAGCAGTTTCTCTTCTGGGTATATATCCAAAGGAAATGAAATCATCACCTCATAAAGATGGTTGTACACCCATGTTCATTGCAGCATTATTCACAATAACTAAGATATGGAAACATCCTAGATACTCATCAGTGGGCCAATGAATAAAGAAATTTTCTATGGAATAACATACAATAGAATAGTATTCAACCTTAAATGAGATCCCACCATTTACAACAACATGGATGGACCTGAAGGACTTTATACTAAGTGAAATAAGCCAGACACACAGAAAGAAAAGTATTGCATGATCTCACCTATATGTGAAATCCTAAAAAAAAGGCAAATATATATAGACAAAATAAAACAGTGGTTATCAGGGTGGGGAGAAGATGTAGGTCAAAGGATATAAAGTAGCAAATATGAAGGAGAAATAAGTGGAAAGATCTGATGTACAACATGAGGACTATAATAGTATGTCATATTCAAGATTTTTAACAAAAGCAAATTATAGCTGTTCTTGCCACAGGAAGAAAAAAATGGGTAACTAAGTGAAATGACAGATATGTTAATTTGCTCTGCTGTGGTCATCATTTTACTAAATATATGTATCTTATATCATAAAATTGTGTACCTTAAATATACACAATAACATTTGTTTTTTTTAAAAGGCTACGTTGACACTGCATCTTTTCAACACACACATACAAATTCCCTGTCTTATGGGGATAAAAGAGAACTCTTCTGTGACTGTTGAGTAAACTCTTTGGAAAGCATTTATTATGTATTTTTAAATGAGTGGAAAGTTTGCTTTTAGAGCTATCAGCAAGGTTAATGCAACCCAGCTATCAAATTATTGCCTTTAAAATAATCTTTGCCTACAGAAATCTATAGACTGAATCCCTTGTGATCCTGCCATTTTTCACCTTTAATTCAGCCACTATTTACTGTTGAAGTTTCCCACTTCTTTTTAAAAAAATGACCTTTCTCAAATAAGGAAATACCTATTTTGGAATACCTATTTTAGAAGACTTTGCATATTCTAGAAACTGTTATTTTAAACATCAGAATTAGAAGTTCAGACTAAAAAAAAAAGTTGAAACTTTTTGAAGCTCAAATTAATGACTGCCTCAGATTTTACTAATGTTAAGTTGTCAGCTATGTAGGAAATTGGGAGATGGGGTATTAGTTTTATTGATGCTTTTAAATTGAAGCACTTTGACATTAAGATACTTCTGGCTGGAAATAATGCAAGTGCTGTTCTTAAGGCCAAATCATTTCCTACAAGCAAGAAAACTAATCAGAATGTCTAGATAGCTGCCTATTTTGTGTTGGCAATACTCATAAAATGCTCTTTTTTGAGCACATGCGTTTGGAAAATAATTTTTTGGTTAGTTCTAAATGATTTATATGAGCCTCATGCTACACAGAGCTGCTCAAGTATTGTCATCAAATATGGCAAGTAAAACTTATTTTCTTTTCCTTCTAGGAATTATAAATTAATTTCTAAATATTGATATTTAGAATTAATGTCGATGTTTTATATGCTGCTTCCATCTGGTGTGAAATACCAAAATTTTCATGCTGACTAATTCCCTTTGCCATATTTACATTGTGTTTAGATATTCTCGTAGATCCTTGTTGTAGCTGATTGTTTAATTAGACTGTAATATAGCCTTTCCAGAAAGTGTCTGCATATGAGTTAAAGTCTTGAGAATTTTATAATTTCATGTTCTTCCTGGACACATCTGTTACTTGTTTCTCACTTTTCTCCCCGCCCAGTGCACTCTCTTTTGAAGTCTGCATTTAACAGCATAGCTATAGAGAAGGAGAAGCTGAAGCAGATGGTTGCTGAGCAAGACCTTGGTAAAGGCCACAACACACAAATGGCGCGGCTCCGACAGTCACTGTCTCAGGTAGAGGATAGCGTGCATTTGCATGTGCATGACACAGCCCCAACCCTGTAAGACATCTGAAAATGGGGGTATGAAGGGAGGCAGTCAGTCATGGGGATGATGCACTCCTCTGAAATTCTTCTAAGACATTGCAATTTCAGTATTAAATTGTGTTACTATACTTTTCTTCCCCCCAAATGTCAAGGTAAGGGTGAAAATAAGCCAAACTTGCTTACAAGCATATCATTATTTTGACTAATTGAACCCTTAATGCCTCTCTAAGGTCATTGATATGATCTACACATCTAAATATGTTCTGGAATATATTCAGCCCAATGGTAAATAGAAAAAAAAATCCACTAGATCTTCCACACTTAATATTTTTCCCACTTATAATACATCTTTATCTGATGAAAATTATCAATTACCATTATCCATTTTTTCCTCTTCTGATGTGCACACTTGGAGTTTTCTTCTTGAAGCTAGACTTTTATGTCCATATATATTATGCAATTGATCTTATTAATACTAGTCAAATCCCTATGTGTGTATATATATACATATATGTATATATCAGATTTGAAATTTCTGATAAAAACCCTTTCTAGCTGTGCTTATGCCTTTTTACACTGAGTGCTTCCTTCAAAGTCATTATTTTCTTTAGTTAGTCTATAAATGCACTTATTTTAATTCCTTTGAGAATTCAATGTTTTTATGTAATTTTATGTGAGAACTCAGTGTTTTTATAAAATATTGTTCACTTCCTGGTGCCTTGGACCAGAGTGAAGGAGCAAGCAAATCCTGGGTAAGTGGTTCTCCATGTGGACCAGATCCTGCTTGAATAATGTCCCTCAGTCCCCCAAAACTAGACTTAAACTGTATCCATGTTTTTATGTCCCTGAACTGTCAGTGTATCTTCAGTGTTGAGATTCTGTCGTGCGGTGCTGTTATCTGGACCACACTTTCTGCATTTACTGAAAACACTGTCAGTTGAGGGGCTAATGCTGCTTGCAGTGCAAAACCAGGGGCCTCCAGAGCATGAGTGACAAAAGCGGCTACTATTGTGCCAGGCTGCAGAGGGCTTTATTCATAAGGACACTTGAATGGTTTTCTCTGGATACTTTCTATGTCATGGATATGTTGAACACTCAGTTGATGTTAACCAGTCTTCCAAATCGTTATTCTGAAAGTATCCTGCATCAGAAAGATCAAAGTAATAGTTGAGCAAACATTTAAATGTCATCTTGTAGCCGGGTTCAGTGGCTCAGTCTGTAATCCCGCGCCTTTGGGAAGCTGAGGTGAGTGAATTGCCTGAGCCCGCGGG